AAAAAAAAAAAAAAAAAAAGAATAAATTCACTATTCAATAAGTGGAAGTGGATCATCATAAAGGTCTTCATCCTCATTATCTTCACACTGAATAGACTGAGGAGAAGGAGGAGGAGGAGAGGTTGGTATTGCTGTCTCAGGGCTGGCAGAGGTAGAAGAAAATTTGTGTGTAAGTGGAACTGTGCAGTTCAAACCTAGGTTGTTCAAGCGTCAGATATATTTAATTAATGATTTATTTCATTCAATAATTTAATAGGACAGATAAGCTGGGTGTTGATTGCCTCATGAAAAGACCCACCTGAAGCTCCCTTAATTTAAATAAAAGCTTTCAGTTTGCTTTAAGCAATTCGATTTAAGAAAACTGCATGAAGGAACATGCTCATGGCATGACCAAAGTATAAAGTATTTTAAGACTCTTTGTATTTAGTAAGAAGATTTGAGACAGTATTCCCTTAAGTACAGTTTTGGAGGCGTTCACTAATTTAGCTGATAGGTAAGTGCCAGGTGTTCATGATATCTCACTAGAGAAAAGTCTTTATGTCCTAGTTGACTAATAAAGACCTTTGCTTCCACATAATTCTGAATCACAAAGTAAGTGTGCCCAATGTAGAAACTATCTTCTACATGTTTATGCCTTCTTTCTTAAGTCATCATACCTGTACAGGTTTAACGACTAGTAAAGGTTGCCCTGGGTACTGTAGGTTCTGATGCTACATCACCCACATGCAAGGGTTTCTACATATTGTAGGTCACTTTCAATGAGTGTATACATAAGAAAGGTCTACTTGAATTTTCTATTCCAAATTCTTGGGTGCTAAGTGCTGCTAGCCTTTCCCTAAAACAGCACCACCTCTTTCTGGAAATTTTTAAGTTCCATTTTGGTGTGCTTAGGTCATTAAATAATACACAAACACATTTAAATTCTACAATTCAAGCAAAGAACTCAGAGATGATAAATAACAATAACAACAAACTAGGAAATCACTAGAAAAACCAAAGTCTGAGCTCTCTAAGGCCGTTTTTATTAGAGCTGTAAATCATTTCACCCAAAGGGGAACTTGGGAAGGTTTGCACACAATCAAGTCTCACCTAGAAGCAGTACTGGAAATAACTACAGATGCAGTGCCAACAATACTTGGATGATTGCCACCATGAGTAACATTTGTCAAGCATTTGTATGACTTAGCTATGCTACAAAGCAGCTTTGCTATAGAGTTCACAAATTTTGGTTAATTATACTTCTAAAAATAATCTCCAGGGAAACAAAAGCCAGCTGAAAACTCAGTATGGTTGGGGAAGAAACTGGTGCCCTATATTGAAGCAAATGGCCCAGGACCACCTCCCAACATCCAAAACCCCACCAACATGTTTGAGGACTGCAAAGGGACTCCCATCAAAATACAAGGATGTCAGTGAAGTAGTCACTTTTACTCCCAAACATTTTCTAGTTCTGTCACTTTCAAATCTTCTCTTTCTAAATTCCCCTCCCAATCATTCCAGTCTTGTCTGGGTCAACAATTAAATCATCCATGATCTGGCTCCTCTCAGAGTAATGCACATCTGTCAATTATATTGTACACTTACTAGAAACAGACCAAGGGAACCAGAAGAAAATGTGCTGCATTCAAACCTTCAGCCTAAATGGGTCCGGCAGTGCTACAACTTTCAAAGCTGACACTGACAGTTACCTCTACAAACACTGAAAGCCTCATTGGTGCCAAACAGGATGTCCCTGCTAGGAAGTTCATTGACTATAAATGTTATGTGGTGTCATAACAAGCAATAACGTTCCAAGACTCTTGAGCTGAGAGATTAACCACTGAAAGACAACATAGGAAATGTGGGAAGTCCATCCTCATGAAACCAGAGCTCAGGGGAAGCACAGCATTTAACACTTCCATTTACAAGCCTTTGGGGAGAAAAATCTGGATTATTACAAAGCTGAAGAAAAGTATCCCTGTTGTAACTCATGGCTACTATGAAAATGGCGAGAATCACCACCAAGGCAAAGACAGGGAGCAAAGTTCACCACCTCAGGCTTGTCTGGAATTCAAAACAATCCAGGTTAATATTTTATGATATAGGATAAATCAAAGGTACATCCCTCACCTTCACTGTTACACCTGCCTGGCAACACCTGATGAGGGAGCGTTAAAGAGACAACAGTCTACTGCTATGACACAGAGAGGAAGAAGGCCAGAAAGGCAAAGAACAAAGAGGAAGAGAAGGAGAGCATTTACAACAGCATCATGCACCACGGGTAAACAGAAAATGTTAATTCCTTGGTTTATTTCTTTTCTCCCATATTTTATTCTGGTTCAACACATTTCAATTTATTCCTCCAATTCTGGGTATTTAAATATTTGAACCAGAAAAAAAGTGAGAGGAAAATCTTGTTCACAAAGAACTTTCCTTTAAAGCTTCATAAATGTACAAAAATTGTATTTCACAGAGAAGCCATTCAATTTCTGACTCTACTACCATTGATTTTACTCCTAACATTTACAAAACGCTAAGGATTTTAATACCTTGCCTCATTCAGTCCTCACAACAACTCTGAGGTAGGTACAGGATTTCCACAGCAACTGGAAGTTGCAAGACCACATCACACTATCATGTGGTGGAAAAGGAGTCAAACCCCAAGCCCCATATTTCGCTCATCTCCTACACTTACATAACCTTACACTCAGCTTATGAGAAGAGGTACTTTCTGTTCAACACAGACCCAAGTTCCTCTGCCTTAGATCACATGCCCTTGCTATTTTTAGAATGAATCATCATCATGGCTTCACAGACCAGGACTATTCCTGATATACCAGCCTGACTATATGCGATGGGTCAAAAGGTCTGGAGGGCAGGTGGTTCAAAGAACTGACTGGTTTCACCTCCTGTTAAAATGACACCTAGAAAACTAACTCAAAGCATTGACACAGAAAACTGGACTAAGAACAAGCTATTATTTATCAAAGTAGAGCAAGTTAGAATTTAAATCAAAGATAAAGCATTCTCTTGATTTTGAGGGCAACTAGCTCACCCTGGTGGACAGAAAACTCAACTACAAGAAAACCAATTTCCTCCCACACCACCTCATTAAAAACTGTGCTAAAATCAGGGAAACTGATTCAGACCAGTTGATATCCTTAATGATTTAAGCTTGAACAAACATATGGATAGACCTACATAACACATTCTGTTAACTACCTAAATTGTGCTAGCAATCCTATATTTGAAAATTTGTCTATATAATGTGAAGTCTGAAAGTTTCTTAAACTCAAATTAAATATAAAACTCAGAATTTGCTGAATGCAACAATAAATGTGATGAGTAGTTCAAAATGAGTTACTGTTATGCATTAGAGTCAATCTTCTATTTTCTAAAATATTAAAGTAGCAATTTTTTTATCTGGCAGAAATCACCTAAACTCTAACAAAACCTAACCATAAAAATATTTATTATATTTATTTATTCTATAAACATTTATTGCATACCTTTATATAACAGGCACTAAACTAGACATGGGAAAAATAGCAGCCAACAGACTACTGCATTGCGATACACAGAATCAAAAAACTATGATACAATAGAGGCCCTGTAGCTACTTCAGATTAAATGGTCAAAAAAGACCACTGTATTATTTGGAACAGCAGAAAACAGTAAATAACCCAAATGTCTATCAGTTGTAAACAGCCCAAAAGTCCACCAATCACAGTACAAATATACAACAGGATACCAGGCATCCATGAAAAGCTTCAAGTAGATCTGTAAGTGCTGATATGGAAGATCTGCAAAATACACTACAAATTGAAAAAAGTAAGGTAAGAACAGAGTATGTAGGAGTCTACATGTATAAATTTCTTAAAGTAAATATTTAGAAGTGGAAATATGTATTTTTAAAATACCCAGAGGAGGGGGAATTACCCCCAAAATTGTTAACAGTGAATTCTTTCTTTTTTTTTTTTTTGAGTTGGAGTCTCACTCGGTCGCCCAGACTGGTGTGCAGTGGCCACTCCCGGCCACCGCAGCCTCGCCTGCTGGGCTCCGGCGATCCTTCTGCCTCAGCCTTCCAAGTAGCCGGAATTACGGGCATGCGCTACCACGCCCGGCTGATTTTTTGATTTATTGTAGAGAAGAGTTCTCTCCAAGTTGTCCAGGCGGGTCTCGAACCCGCGGGCTCAGGCAATCCACTCACCTCAGCCTCCCAAAGGCGCGGGATTACAGGCTGAGCCACCAAGCCCAGCGTGAATTCTTTCAAAAAGAGAAATTTGGAGTGGGAAGAGTATATTCCATTTAGTATTCTTGAGAATGTGCATTCATGTGTGTATTCCTTTCATTTAAACACTGAAATCTTATTCTTAACATATAAATAAGAGTCAAATCAACATGCAGAAAATGTAGCCTTCTATTCGCAACCTATCTGAAACTGGTATAATTCTAATTTACAGACTTAATATGCCCAAGTTTCACTTAGAGAAGGCAGTAGTAACATGACCATCTAAGAAAAGACTCTGTGGCCAACATACGGCTTAATGTTAAATCTGGCACAGCTACCTCCTGTGGCTCATGAAGCCTCCAGAGCTCAGCTTTCACTGTAAAAGCTTGCCCACCTGCTCTCTGTAAGGTACAGATATGAGGGGAACTATGCCTGCTTCCTTCCTCATAAAAGCACTTGTGAAAAAACTGGGTAGGACATATCAAATTCGTTCATCAGAGAAAGGGAATGAGAACTGGATCTTTTCCCACCATTACTCATTTTCAAATGTCTTTAACAGAGGAATGCTCATACCTCTCAAGCAGATTATTTAAAACCTACAAATCTCCTATGTATTAATATCCGTAAATTTACTTTCTTTAAAAAAACTTTTTCTACTAAACTAAACAGTTTTCTGTTTCCTTTTTTTCTCAAATTTTCTTTAAAAAGATAAATAAAATATTTTAAAAGAACTTCAATGAATCTAAATAAAGGAAACTAGACTTCAAAAAATTTTTCCAACACAAATAAGCCTAATTATTTAGTGGCATTTTTCAGTCAGAGTGAAGATCTCATTTCAGAAATCAGCAGTTCAAAATCATATTTTCACACTACTAGGCAACTACAATTATATATGCTTAATACCAGGAAAGGGAATAAACTTGGTACACCATGAGATTTTAAAATGAGACAAATATACCAAATATATATTTTGGGTTCCTTACCATGATTTTCTTGCTCCTGACTCTTTTCCAAAGAGGCCATCATTTCTGAATATTTGTCAGTCCACCAGGGATTATAATTCAATAACTGTTCAACTGCTTCATCTTCAAAAAAGTCAGCTCTAGGAAAAAACATTGAATGAAGTTGTTATATAGGATTAAGCTGGCTTTCGTTTTTTAAGTTTTATTTTAACTCATGACATTTGCACCAGAAATACAGACTGTTAATTCAAAGTACATTTCAAAGCCGGGCTCGGTGGCTCAGCCTGTAATCCCGTGCCTTTGGGAGGCTGAGGTGAGTGAATTGCCTGAGCCCGTGGGTTCGAGACCCGCCTGGGCAGCGAGACCTCATCTCTACAATAAATCAAAAAATCAGCTGGGTGTGGTGGCGCATGCCTGTAATTCCAGCTACTCGGAAGGCTGAGGCGGAAGGATCGCTGGAGCCCAGCAGGCCGAGGCTGCGGTGGCCGGGAGCGGCCACTGCACTCCAGTCTGGGCGACAGAGTGAGACTCCAACTCAAAAAAAAAAAAAAACAAAGTACATTTCAAAGAAAGATTGAGCACTGTATTTATTTTCTTAGTAGTTATTAATCACCATAAAACAAAAGTAAGCATCTGACTAAAGAAATAAATGACATTTCTGATCCCCATAAATAGAAGGTACACAGAGGATCAGTCCTACCTGACGTCCCATCCCATATTCAGTGGTGTGAAATGAAGCAAATCTGAACACACACTGGACTCCAACCTAGCACTTGCGCTAGGTTAGCAAGCACCACAGACTTTGGTAAGATTACAATAAAAAAATCTTTCAACTCTACCAGCAAAGAAAAATGAGCAGATGAACAGGCAATTCAGGATATTGCTTTTCCACAAAGAAGCCACACACATACATTCATAAACACATACATTCACCATTTGTAGCATGTGCACTCTTATTTTCCACCACGATGCAATCAACTTTATTTAGCTATGCCAATCTTAACAGTCCTTGATTTTAAACTGTTGAAAAAGATAAAAGCAATATTTATAGACAACAGAGTAATTTTCTTGTACTGTCCTTTCTGTGTTTTAACTAGAAAAATAACAGCTACATTCAAAATATATCTCTCGCTCTTAGAGGACACTTATTCAGAAATGCTATCTTGCAATCAAAGTTGGAATTGGTATTCTTGGGAAAAGCACAACAAAGTATAACTCACAGTATAAATTTCCTTTATACTTCAGTTAACTAGAAATTCAAGGAATTGGTTGCTTTGATAAATTAAATTTTTTAGCTGATGGTTTTATAACCTTAGATCTTTTTACTTTCAACTGATACTGAAATCTTTTGCCGAGCTCAGTGGCTCAGCCTGTAATCCCGCGCCTTTGGGAGGCTGAGGTGCGTGGATTGCCTGAGCCCGCGGGTTCGAGACCCGCCTGGGCAGGCGAGACCTCATCTCTACAATAAATCAAAAAATTAGCCGGGCGTGGTAGCGCGCGCCTGTAATTCCGGCTACTCGGAAGGCTGAGGCGGAAGGATCGCCGGAGCCCAGCAGGTCGAGGCTGTGGTGGCCGGGAGCGGCCACTGCACTCCAGTCTGGGTGACAGAGTGAGACTCCAACTCAAAAAAAAAAGAAATCTTTTAAAAATTGGAAAGCTCACAGAAAACTCACTGAGTTCCATCTATGTTGCAGGCACTGCACAAGAGCTTTATATTCGTTATTCCCTTGAATCCTCATCCTATCACTATGGGTTGGGGTACTACTAGTACCCCATTTTACATGGATAGAAACCGAGCTCAGAGACCCAGTAAGAAATGTGGCCAGGACATGAATCACATTCACTACTCCAGAATCCAAGCTCTTAACAAACATAAATATTCCATTTGTATGCATGAGGAAATAAAATACACATTGGACAAAACTGAATAGCTAGTATCTTGAAACGGGAATTCTCAAAAACAATTCTTGCCAAGTATACAAGGTATATGAGACTAGGATGAAGGAGTTGCTTAATAAACAAATCCTGTTAAGTCTATTTTCTTATCAGCTATCACTTTCTCCTTAAAATGAAGGAAAAGAGAAGTGCTACTGTAGATGCATCCAGAAATCAGAGTACAGCTAACAGACATGAGTGATAGATGATGACTTCTGTTGGAGCAAGTTAAGTTTGAGGTGTTCTTTTAGGACATACAAGGTGTCCATTTAGGAAATGAATTTCAAAAACAATAAACAATAAGTGTAAATGGCTAAAATGCCATTCAACAGTGAATGCCATTCACTCATTCGACAAAAGTATTAATTTTTAGGGCCAGGCGTGGTGTAAGGCTGAGGCTGAGGCAGGAGGATTGCTTGACCCCAGGAGTTCGAGACCAGCCTAAGCAAGGTAGCGACACCGAATCTATTAAAAAAAAGGTAATGATTTTGTGCTACGTTCGAAGCTCCATATTAGGTACTAGGGTTCCACTGCTGATAAGACACAGACAGTCCTGGCCCTCATGCAATGTACAGTCCCACAGGTGAGTCAAACAATTACAATACAGCAAAACACTATGACACAACATACATGATTCTAGGGCAAAATAAAATTAGGATGACAGGGAAGGACTCTGGAGGATGAATCTAAAACAGCAGCAGAAAAATAATGAACAGTTAACCAGATTAAGAGAGGTAGGACGAGTATCCTGGGCTGAAAGAAGAGCTAGCAACAGCTAGGAAACAAGATGCCACATTGATGGGGAAAGAAATTGAGAAGCTAAAAATAAATAGTGACAACCTTGTATGTCGTTTAAAAATTTAGAGGATTTTTATCCCCCAAAACAACTGAACATTTACAATCTTTTACTAGTGGGATGACATTAGTGTGTTTTAGAAACATCACTCTTACTAATAATTTAAAGGGACAAACCTGAAGAAATAGAAATAATGGTGGTCTAGAATAATGGCAGTGAAAATGGAGCAAAGTAGATGGATATGATCCATATGTAGAAGATAGGATCCTCAGGATGTAAGGGTTGAGGAACTAGAGGAGTCAAGGGTGATGCCAAGGATTTTGGCCTCGACAATTCAGTGGACAAGTGTCCTTCACTGACACAGGGACACCAGGAAGCTAACAGACATGAATGAAGATGAGAATTTCTGAGACAGGTTGAATTTGAGGTGTTCCTTTAGGAGAATACCTCAAATTTAGAGTAATGAAAAATTATCACAATTTAAAATGGTACTCCAAATGATTATTTTTGTCCCTTTTCTTGGATGTTTAGAATGCTGACTAAATTCTTCTATTTTTTCCCAGTAAAGAAATAGGCAAGATACTATGAATTGATTAAGATAAAATATATGCCAGCAATTAAAAAACAATTTGAGAAGGAAAAAAAACACTGAGCAAGAGAAATATAAAAACTTCCCTTCAATAAGCAAGGAGGAAGAACTATTAAGGAATGTTCAAGATGTCCTCAACATATGTTAGTGTAAACACACAAATAAGAGACATGACCAACAGGCAGCAGTACATACACGTCTGATGCTCAAGAAAGATGGGGAGTCATGAGCACTTAGATCCAGAAAGAGGACAAATTGCCCAAGAAGAACTGGCACAGTAAGAGAAAAGGGATTTGGACACTGGAGCACTGAAGACACTTAAGGCAAGGGTAGAAGAAGAGCCTCTCTGAAAAGAGGGGAGAGCCTGGCTTGGTAAAATAGTATTTCTATTTCCACATCCCTCCCCACCAAACAAGCCTCTAAAATGTTTGAGCAATTACTTTGAATAAAACTTCACTAATATGGTCCCAGTAATCTAAACTGTGCTGGTTTATTCCTTACACTGTCCACAAATTAAGAGTTTCACAATAACATTCTACCTTTCTGAATAAATCACTTTCAAATTTTTAAGTGCCATTAATTCAACAAGCATTCACTGAATGCCCTCTATGTGTAGTATCAGGGAGATGAAGGTCAGTAAAACTCACTTGCTGCCCTTAAGGACTCCATAATTTCATAGGAAACATGGACAAAATGTGCTTAAAACAAGAAGAGCTATTTAACAGGGGAGGGCTGTGGAGGACCTCCTACGCCAGTCTAAAAGGGGTATGTGGGGGTGACAACTGAGCCCCCTCTTCAAGGATAAGTAAACTCTGGTGTGTCCACATGGCTCTTTGAGCTACAGCTGCCGTGTTTCTTGGCTTTGGCCCACTCCCCTAACTTGGAGAGGTGAATCTTATACCTCTTTCTCTCTCTCTTTCTCCACTCGCCATTGTTTTGCTAAGGTATGTTCTGGCCACATGGCTCCTTGAGCTATGGTGGCCATGTTTCCTAGCTTTGGCCCTCTCCCCTACCTTGGGGAGGTGAATCTCCTCTCTCTTTCTCTCTAATGTACTTTCTAAATGAATTATATTTTCTAATCTAAAAAAAAAGAAAGAAAGAAAGAAAGAAATCAAAGATGGATGCTAGGTTTAGGAGTGACTAGAGTGAAAACAGGCACTCAGCAAAGGTAGAAAATCAAGAAGACTTTTCAGGTAAAATGATGAGTTCAATTTTGGACACGTTGAAACAGGAGTCAGTGGGATAGCCAGTCATGCTCTAAACTTTTCATCAGCTTTTTCTTCACAGCATTATCACAATAGAAATAGTATCTCCTTCCCTTGCTAAAATGTAAGCCCCACGGGTACAAAAACCTTGTCACATTCAGCGTGGTATCTCTGATGTCTGCAACACTGCCTGGCATGTAGTTCATTCAAACAGCTATTTGTTAAATGAATAAATGAAAGAGTGAATACATAAGATGTTATTCTGATGCTTTTTCTTAAGCTTGATGTTTTGAATAGAGAGCCACCTTGAAATCATGCAATCCTGCTCCCAGCCTCCCAATTACTACTTGTCTTAAGATCTGCTCAACAAATCCAAAAGCCTGACCAATACTATCTTCTTTAGGAAAATTTAGAGTAATAAAAAATTATCACAATTTTTTTTTTGAGTTGGAGTCTCACTCTTTTTTGCCCAGGATGGAGTGTAGTGGCATAGCCACTGCAGCCTCGACCTGCTGGGTTCAGGTGATCCTTCCATTTCAGCTTTCAAGTAGCTGGAACTATATACAGGCATGCACCACCATGCCTGGCTAATTTTTATGATTTATGTGGAGATGAGGTCTCGCCATTTTGCCCAGGTTGGTCTTAAACCCCTGAACCCAGGCAATCCTCTACCTCAGCCTCCCAAAGTGCTGGGATTAAAGGTGTGAGGCACCATGCCCAGCTAATTATCACAATTTAAAGTGGTACCCCAAGTGATTATCTTTGTCCCTTTTCTTATCTCACAGAGGTTTAGAATGCTGACTAAATTCTGTTTTTTTCCCCCAAGTACACAGGCAAGATATTATGAATTGGTTAAGATAAAATATATATCAGCAATTAAAAAACAATTTGGGAAGGAAAAAAACACTGAGCAAGAGAAATATAAAAACTACCCTATAATAAGAAAAAAATGAAGAACTAGGAATGTTCAAGATGTCCTCAACATATTTTAGTGTAAACATAATACCCAAAAGGAATTATAAATGGCAAGAAATTGATAATCTAAAACAATAAATGTTTATGGATCATCTATTATACATCCAACACTGTGCTGGGCTGTAAAACATTCAAAAATAAATAAATAAAAAAAAAATAAACCACACCGCAGTAACATCCAGATTTTACAACAGAAGAGCTTAAAAATAATACCAATCCAAAGTCATTTATATATGCCTTTGAACTGTATAAATTTTTCTTACAATTGACTGACCTCAGTGTGCTCTGCTTATGCTGAAATTAAAATTAGATTTCCTCAAACCTCCCAAAATTCTGACAACATAAGAAAACACCATGACTTGTAAAGACAAGTCAAACAACTTAAAAGTACTTAATAATAGCTGGGCATGGTAGCTCACACATGTAATCCCAGTACTCTGGGAGGCAGAGGCGAGAGGATTGTATATATATATACTACATATAATGTATTATCTACACAGTAGATAGTAATTTAAAGTGAGTCTTTTTTCTCCACTGTTTTAACCACTAACAACAACAAAAAAAGCACTGAGCTTAAAAAATGTTTAATTAAAAATTTAAAAGAAATGTACTTGCATTTCATTTAATATTAATACATTTGGGTAAGTCAGACAACTAATATAAATAATGAATAGTGAGTAACACAAAGATTGCACTTAGCCAAAGTCTTACTGTTATCAAAAAAGTCACAAAGAACCTTTCCCTCATGACTCCCACTCTTCTCACTCAGTCCATGTCTAAATTTAAACCACTCCTTTAAGAAGAACTATTCCTTGAGAAATGGAAAAATTACTTCATGCATACTATTTAAGAAAATAAGCTTCTCGATAAAGAAACACAGAAGATAGAGAAAAACTAAGGACTGCTTTTAATATCACACTGCTAGCTATAAATTCCAATTTCCTAATTCTCTCAGACCATAGTTATTCTTCTAGTTTTAGAAGAGAAGAGATAGGCAGTTCTCCTAATTAAGCTCCCTCCCACTTGAAATTTCAGTCTTGTAAAGCTCATTCTGTTTTTATGCTAGCCCGAGAAATTTGCTGACAATGAAATTTCCACTTGAAATATTCAGCATGATTTTTAATGGGTTTCTTCAAATTACTCTTCAGTGGACCTTTAAAACCACAATTGGAGAGATAAAGGTAATTAGAAATGGCAATGTAAATGGAGTTGAATCTCTCAGATGTCCTCCAAAATATAACATACCCTGCTCTTACCCCATTTCCCTTAGGATGTTGAATAGTTCAATCATTTATCATTACACATCACTCATTCCATTTGCACATCACAAGATATATTTCTGCCATTCCAATTAGTATCCTACTGTGTCACAGAAGATAGAATGTTAATCACAAGAGCAACAGCAGTTAAACTGAAATAGTGTACATGAAAAGGAAATACCAAATGACAAATGGAAAGATTCTTTTCAAGTCCTGGCCAAGTCACTTAGTAGTAGTGTGACCTTGGTCAAGTCACTTGAAGTCCCTTGACCTCCTTTCCTCATCTTGAGAAAACTGAATTAAATAATCACATGAGAGTACGTAATAAGCTGCAAGGTCCAAACAAATATAAGGGGATATGATGATTACAGTTGTACAAATAACTGTTAGAAAATGTCAGCCCAGAGCTTGGGAAGAATAATCAAGGACTATATCAACATACAACATCCATTCTCGACTCATCCTAGAAAAGGCAAGTATCCAAAGAGATCAGATGACTATCCTTGGAAGAACTGCCAATATGCTAGCCAATGAGAGGCAACACAATCTCTACTCAAGTGACCATTTACCTACCCATTAATTAGAAAAGTTCCTGATGCAAATATAAGGCTGATAGAGACAAATGATGGCTAAAGATACAATTAATGTAGATGGGAAATACAGCAAAACTTAAAACAGGTTTTGGTTGGGTGCAGTGGCTCAAGCATGTAATCCCTGCACTTGGGGAGGCTGAGGTGAGCGGACTATCAGAGCCTATGGGTTTGAGAATAGCCTGGGCAACTTGGCGAGACCCCATCACTACAATAAATCAAAAAATCAGTAGGGCATGGTAGCACGTGCCTGTAGTTCCAGCTACTTGGAAGGCTGAAGCGGAAGGATCGCCTGAGCCCAGCACGTTGACGCTGGGGTGGCCATGAGCGTGCTACTGTACTCCAGTCTGGACAATGGAGTGAGACTCTAACTGAAAAAAAAAAACAAACGAAAAAAAGCAAACAAAAAAACAGGTTCTATTTATACTCTACCACAAAGAATAATTATTTGCCCATTTGAAATATATGATTGATTACAGGTGCTACTGGACAAATGTATTAGAAAGATCCTGAATCAGCCAAGAAATATAGTACACGTAGATTCAAATTCTTAAATTGAAACTTGTTTGCATTTATGTATACTACTAATCGCAACAAAAAGTCTACTTAAAAGAAGTATAATATTCTCATGAATTCAGTGTTCTATTTTTAAGTCTGGCAAGAAAAAATTTTTAAAAGTTATGTTAGAAAAGTTTTCTGTTGTGAAGGCAAACATCTAAGAAGCAACATCTTATAAGGATCACAGAGGTACAACAGCTGTAGATTAAGTCAAATATCAACTAAGGTTTTGAGCCATCACTCATTTCTAGAATCCAAAACACATGTCTAGTATAGTGTCTTTTTGACACTCAAAACATTTCTTAATAAATGTCAAGAAAATTATTTAATCCTCAAAAAACTCAATACTCACAGATAATGATCAGGATCAAATTTGGCCAATTCAGCAGCCATGCGTTTTTGCCTTCGTTCTGCTGCAGGAGTGAAATCTGGGTCCTTAACATCAATAATGTCACTCAATTCATCCTATGAACACCCAAAAAAGAAAGAATAATTGCTGGCTCCTATTTTTAGCATTTAAGAATCAAATTTTGCACAACATGCCAAAGCACAGGAAGAATCTAACTAATTGGTAAACCATGATACCACCTGTTGACATTTAGATTCAAGTCCAGCAAATGTTTGTTAAGCACCTACTACTCACTAGGCTCTACTGAAATATTTCACACAAATTATCTCATTTAATCCTTATAACAAACTGATTAACATATATTAAGTTTTAAAAGCTTAACATAAAAAACAGAATTGGATAAACCCCTGCAAGCAAGCGGGAGCATTTTACTCAACATCCATTTCCCAATTTACCCCTAGAGATTTGAAAGTGATTAATGCTAGAGTGGTTTGAATATCAGGCACCTGCATATAGGTTTTTCCTTTTTCCTATAGCCTAGCTCAGCTGGTCCCAAAGAAAAATTACCATACAGGTTGAGTATCCCTTATCTGAAATGCTCAGAACCAGAAGTATTTCAGATTTCAGATTTTTTTCAAATTTTGAAATATTTGTATTATGCCAGTTCAGCAGCCCTGATCCAATAATCCAAAATCTGAAATGCTCCACTGAGTCATGTCTGTGCTCAGAAAGTTTTGGATTTTGAAGCATTTCAGATTTTCAGATGAGGTATCCCTCAACTATTTATATAAGACTACATACACAAAACAGCATACATTCTACTTTATAAGCAGGTTTTTAAAATTTTACAGGCAATTTTGAAGTACAGTACATGACTTTTCATTTGAAAACATAAAAATACAATCCTAAGAATCAACTTTACTGTAACTGTCTACCTAGATGTATACATATTGATATTTCGCAAGCCAAATCCTTCAGAATAGAGGTATATTGGGAAAACTGTCTAGGATTCCATCATACATAGGCTTTATTCATTCTATCAGAATTGTGATGCAAATAAACCTTATACAATGCAAAATATTCCTAAAACTGTGACTTTTTTCTTTCTTCAACCTCTCTATTCCCACTACCAATCCCAAGTGAGAAGTGCAGAAACTGAAAGAAACTTAAAGAACACTAGCTGGTGGCTCAGCCTGTATTCCCGCGCCTTTGGGAGGCTGAGGTGAATGGATTGCCTGAGCCCGCAGGTTCAAGACCCGCCTGGGCAGCGAGACCTCATCTCTACAATAAATCAAAAAATCAGCCGGGCATGGTAGCACATGCCTGTAATTCCGGCTACTTAGAAGGCTGAGGCAGAAGGATCGCCGGAGCCCAGCAGGTCGAGGCTGCGGTGGCCGGGAGAGGTCACGGCACTCCAGTCTGGGCGACAGAGTGAGACTCCAACTCAAAAAAAAAAGAACATTAGCCGAAAAGAAATCAAGGGAAATAAGTTGGTAGAGTTGTGGAGGCAAACTGTTGAGACAGATTTGTAAGTGGAATTACAGCTTAGTGTTTAATAGGCAGGTTTAAAAGCCAGTGGCAGTAAAGTACTAAAATCACTGCAATTAATGTGAGCAATGTTGAGTTGATAAGGAAGACACTAGGACACAGTCACTCCACACAACCACAATTTCCACAAAATAATAAAATTAAAATGTTCTCTCATCCCTAACACAATCCTTTACCTCAAGTAATTATCAACAAATTTTAACCTAAGCATATTCTAATACAATGAAAGGGTACAAGAAACTTTTGTGGAAGTCACTGGAACATGAGTCAGAACATCTTAATACCTCCAAGTACAAACATTCTGGACAAAAACCAGATTACTGGCTGTCCCCAAAATTACAAAAATTTGCATTCCAAAAGTTCCTTTGCAATTTACTTTTTGGAGACTTAGAACGCACTTTCCTATAGAAATACTATTATAAATAATAGTTAGATTCTCAGGGCAGCCCACAAGTTTACACAATTCATAGAAACCTTGAAATAGAGTATGCACAACACGAAGCTTAACATGTGTGCAGCAATGTTTCCATGGGAAAATACTTTCAGAGTTCCATTGCACCAGAAGCATCTCTTCCCCAAGCAATGCAACCTAGATCCTTTCTTTCTTTCTCCACTTCCTCACCTGCCTAAAATCAGCTCCCTCCCAGTCATAGAGTTGGGAAAAGCACCAGCAAAGGCCTTTGGGGGACAGGAGGTGTTATAATGTATTCGCAGGACTTACCTCAGCTACATGAATACTGTGAGAGCCATTTCCTTCCCATAGACCCTAAGTCCCTCTCCCCAGCAACCTAGGGTCACCCCCTTTATTTCCTTCTTCTAGCCCCAGGACTTCCCTGGCCCACACACTTCTAAAAGCAGCTCAGTGAAGTAGAAAGAGTGACTTTGGGGTTAGACAAAACTTGAACTAAACCCCAGCTGCAGTCTAATCGTGAGCCTCTCTGAACCTCAACTTCCTTTCTGTAAAATGAGTCTCGTGGCCCCTCTGTCACAGCACAAGGATATTAGTTTCCCTTTTGCTTCCTTTGCTGTAACAAATTACTACAAACTTGAAGGCTTAACACAACACAAATTTATTATCTTACAGTTCTGGAGGTCAGAAGCCCAAAATTAGTCTCACTAGGCTAAAATTCAGGGCTACATTCCTTTCTAGAGGCTCTAGGAGAGAATCTGTTTCTCTGCCCTTTTTGTCTTAGAGGTTGTCCCCATTCCTTGGTTTGTAGCCCCACATCACAGTGCCATTTCTTACTCAGTTTCTATCATCATGTGGTTGTCTCCTTTTTTAACTTTGACCCGATCAGCTCCCTCTTACATGGACCCTGTGATTAAACTGGGCATACCTAGATAATCCAGGATACTCTCCCGGTTTCAAGATCCTTAACTCAATCACATCTGCAAAGTAACTTTTGCCACATAATGTAACATATTCGTAGGTTCTGGGAATAAGCAGGAGAGCATCTTTTGGTCAAGAGAGGATGACATTCTGTACCACAGGCTGTTATGAGGATTAAATGAGATAACACAAGTAAGGCACAAGCACAGGGCTTCATACAGCAGTGATGCTGCTTTCCTTTCTCAGTCTCCCTCTTCCGTTGTAGCTCCCTATTACTCACTGACTAACCCCACTCAGAGTACAAATCCTCCCTCTGCCTCAGTTTCCTCACCTGCTAGTTGTGATTTTTTAATGGATTAAAATGTTCTGCTTCATTACTTCACCTGGACCAGAAATAAAGTCCGAAGTGGGATACAGTCTGTGAGTCTTTGTAGATAGCTCTACATTTCACAGGCTGAATGGACTAACATAACTCCAAGGATTTCAAGACACTAACTACAGTGAGAACAGACACAGCCTCTTACCATAGCTCTGTTCTTGGCCCGCATGTCTACATTCCTCTTCCGGCTCAAATATGCTCAAGCCACACACTAGACTCCTTTCCATTTCTGAAACACCCTGATTCAGTCCCAACTTTGAGGCTTCCCATTTTCAGTACTCTTCTCATCATTTAGGACTCAGTGCAAATGTCACCTTCTCAAGGAGCCCTCCAAGCCAAGGGAGCACCCCCAGTCTCTCATATCACCCCATCCTCTTCCTTCACTTATAACTATCTGTCATTATCCTGTTTATGTGTTGTTTACATGACTACTGTCTGTCTCCCACTGGAATGTTCCATGGGGACGGGTGTCTTCTCTATCTTTTCTTCCCTATATCCTCAGCACTGTGCCTGGCATCAATATTAAATCATTCATTCTGCAAATAGTGCTTGAGGGCCTGCTATGGTCCAGGCACTGTTCTGGGTGCTAAAGTAGAAATCTGGTAATTAACATACAAACCAGGTCCACACTCATGGGAATGAGAACGACCAATGAGAAAGCAGTTCTTTTTCCTTTCTCCCTCCTCTGCCTCCTGGCCTCCAGACTTGGGGTTTCCACATACAGTCTTGCAACATGTACATAGTACAACAGGAACGTTAACAGCAGTGCAAGCCCCAGCCAGACTTGTTCTATGCACAGTCACACACAGTGGCCCTGTTCTAACTGGACTCTATAAAGAAACTGAAACAAACTAATGAGCAAAGTTAGCTTGGAATTTAGAAGTCTAAGGCATCAATCAACCAAAGGGAAGGAAGCAAAGAGGATTAGAAATGCTAAAACTATGGCAGGAAGAAATGGGTTCTTTTTTTTTTTTAAGAGTTGCTAGGGCCATTGGTTATTAGAGTTATTTAAAGATAGGAATAGTAAAGTAAAGGTCATGTGGTATTTAAATCAGGCTTATGTAAATTTAAGCATAGATAAGGCAGACAGCCCAGAGAGAAAATGAACAACAGTGGACACATCTGGTCAGTGGGTGGCCTGGAAACAATGGCCTTATGTCCCCTGGTGTAGCCAAGAAAAGGATAGGGCCAGCAAGCCTGATGTCCTGCGGCTGCTGGCAACAGCGGTCCCAGGAGCTTGCTGGGTTGGCGCCCGGAGACTCTAGGGTTGTTGTTGCTGGCAGCCACCACCGCCAGAAGCTTGTTGTGAGGCCCTGACTTTGAGCAGCCAGGGCAGTGTTCCAAAGGCACCCTGGTGGCTGGCAGCTATTACAGAAAGGAAAGAAGTAGGGGGGAGGGGGGATATGTGTGTATGGGGAGTGGAAGAAGGAATGTTGAAAGAAAATTTGTTTCAGCAAAAATATTATTACTTTCTTCTCCTTATCAGTATAAAATATACTAGTTCACAAGCAAATCTTGTTTAAAAGGTTGGAGAGAAAAATATATAAAGATCCCTCTAAAGGGTCGAATTAGTTGATGAAGAAAAGATACCTGGGTGTTGGAATTATAAATTATTTTTTACTTTCTTCTCTGTATTATATTTTTATAATAAATCTATATTGCTTTTATCATCAGAGACAATAAAGCCATTTTTCATTTACGGGGGAAAAAGAGGCTGTAAAAATACTGGTAAAATATAAGTAGTCATGAAACTTTATAGTGTTTCTTCATCCAAGGGCAGAACCAGAGAAACTAAAATTGTGAGAAAATACTATTTGAGAATATGGTGAAATTGCTTAAATCATTTTAAATTAGAAGAA